ACTGGAAAAAATTTTTCACGAGCCCGCACTCCGATACCACGCATACCCGATGTCTGGGTTTGAGCTCGTTGTGACTTACTTGGACGGGGAACATCTTCCTAAAACTGCAGTCTTTTAGCTTTACAAGTTCTCGAGTTATGAGCTTACCCGAGAAAAACTTTGGTGAACCCGTGCGTAGATACCACGCATGACCGAGGGCTGGGTTTGATCCCGTTGAGACTAATTTGGACGAGAAACACCCTTTTAATGTTACAGTCTTCTAACATGTCAGATCCCCGAGTTATGAACTTGTCCGCGAAAAATTTTGACCGGCCCGTACGCGGGTATCACGCTTACCCGGGGGTTGAGTTTGGGCTCATTAGTACCTACTTGGACGGGGGACATTCCCTTAAAATTTCAGCATTCTAGCATCTCAGATCCCCGAGTTATGAATTTATGCGGGAAAAATTTTGGCGGGCTCGTTCGCGGGTACCATGACTACCCGGGGGTTGGGTTTGGGCTCGTTAGTACCTACTTGGACGGGGAACATTCCCATTTCAGCTCTCTAGCTTTTCTGGTTTGTTAGTTAGCAACTTACCCGTAAAAAACTTTGGCGGGCTCCTACGTGGGTACCACGCGGGAAAGACTGCCCATTTTGGGTATGGGGGCCAGTACGTGCGTGTAGAATAAGTCCCCAAAGTTTCAGCCCTGTAGCTTTTGTAGATCTCGAGATGAAAAATCGGTGTAGAGGCCCTGCGCACACACACACACACACACACACACACACAAACACACACAGACACACACAGACAGCCTCTCGTCAATATGCGTTTTTCGCATTGCATAGCTACAAAAAAACGCATAAAAAGTAGTTTTAAGATCAGCTAATTCATTTTACTTTAAAAAATTTTTTATTTGAGCAAGTCTTACCACCAAATCCAAGACCCATACTGTAGAAAATCTGTGTTGCAGCTTCTAGCCAAACATTTGGATCCCATAATCGCTGTAGCTGAAAATGGATTTAGTACAGGCTGAGAAACCAAGTTAGCGTTGAAATCGGTCATAAACTGAGGTCAAAGATACCAAATGCGAAACACTAGTCATATAGAACAAAACACCTGTCTTTCGACTCGAAAAATTCTTGTGAGGAATTTTGCAACCTTTTATGGCCCTTGAAACTAGACCTCTAGGTAATACTCAGTTTTGCGGTCTTTAGGTTATAAAATGTACAGTTTATATCATTAATTTATGATGAACTGAAGACGTACATCTGGAGTCATCATGTATTTCAGACCTTCTGCTGCGCCTTCCAGCATCAGTGATCTAACCAAGAAGCAGGTGGTCACAACATACGGAAATGTTGCAGTGAGATACATAACCTGCAATTCAACGATCAGTACATTCAACGATCAGAATAAAGAAAAGTTTTGAAACTCATTTCTTTACTGCTGGAAAGAAAGCACAGAACCTTGCCACTACTTTTGATGCCACGCATAACGCAGAGGTAGATTAGCACCCAAGCAAGTACCAACGAAATCGTTATATGAGGGACAAAACCACCAAAATCTCCTATAGACCTGCAAGAGCTATATTTCAGGCTTTCTCATATCGTTTTTAGAGATATTATTTGTTCGAAAATTGCTCACATAGCAGTTACGAGAGTTTAAGAAGTCTTGAAAAATACTGCAAAACTATCGCCAATTTCAAACCTCTTGGGATGAAGCCGGTAAACAAATTTTGTGTTTTCCTCACACTTACTGCAAAAGAATCTTACTCGCTCGTATCAATCGCTTCACGATTCCAAAAGTAACTTGTCGTTGAGCTTGATATCCGACATTCCTCCACCATGGTGCCATTCACTTCAGGACAAGTCTGTAATGATTTTGATCAGTAAATGAGATTTTCGTTAAAAAAAATTTATCATTAATTCCTATCTTTGAATTTAAACATTTCCAAGCGGCAAGAGCTTTTAGCTATAGCAGTCTAAAAATATCGACACATCCAGTAGTTCTTCCGCTCAGCTGGTAATTTTCTAAAGCGCTGCATCCAAAAACTATTCTTGTGGGGTGACTTCGCAGATGGAAGACGAAACTGAAAAACGGCTGAGGGCTATTAGTGATCAATGTTCCCAGCTGCTGTCGCATACGCGGCAAGTGAAAAATCAGACACAAGTTTGTGAATTTGAATACTTACTCCCCATGGAAGATTGAAGCTAAACGACTTGTAGAGATAATATATGCACCACGTTATGATCACATTGTAATACAGCGCAACGAGAAACGAAACAACTGCTGCCGACACTCCAACGCCTGCAACACTCCTCCCGCTATGAACATCATGCAAATGATGAAATTTACTTCGTGAAAGTGCATGAGACCAGCTCACAACTATATCCGTCCAGAACACACTTCTGTTACACAACAAAAGAACTGCCATACATGTTACATGCTATGTGTAGATGCGCTGTTACAAAGAACGATATTAATCAAGCCAGTTTTGCATAAAAAAATGTGATGTGGTTTCTCACCAAAAAACAAACAAGCGCCAGCCCGAAGTATTCAACATAGCTCAGTGTAGGACGAAGATGATTTTGACTTGCAGCCATGTATCAGTAATAATTTACACCGAAATGGATAAGAGAATTTTAGAGGGATTGGTTGCCTCACTGGCAGAGTGCTAAGTCCAACACCGCTAGCATGCGATTCGCGCTACTTGCCACTACATCGTGCTCGTCATCGTGAGCATAATCAGAATTTTAAATTCATTTAATAGGTCGTATGGAAAGCTCTATTTGGTGACGAGCAAGAAGTAGTTCAAATTTTAACTCTTTTGCTAAATATACAATCATTTTGAAACATTCCCGCAAAAATAAAATTTGCAGCTAATGGTAGATCTGATTACAACCCTAGCCGGTATCATTAGAGCACCAGCCGGCATCACTCATACTTACATTTGGAGTCAAGAGACCCCGCAACGATGTGGATAGTATTTACAACAAATTACTACTTGTCTAGAAACGGTAAGCTTACCTCCAAGATATGGATGAATTTCATTCCACACGCCAACAGGACCCAGTCTCATTTTTTGGCCTATACCAAGTTCAATCAAAAACAGCGGTGTACCCTCGATGAACATCATTATGCAGTACGGTATCAGAAATGCACCTGAAACATATTCGAACTCTAGAACGCTTTATCTTTTTTTAACAATATCTCAAGAATAGCTCGTCATTTGCGAACTGCTTTTACTGCAAAAAGCCTTGCTTTCCTTAGGACCAGAGTGCCTCGCAATCAGTACGTTATATACGTGACATAACGCATGTCTGCAGTCCGCCTCCGTAACATTTTAAATTCAAGAAACAATTTATCAAAGAATCGCCTGGCTGATCACCTTTTTCAACTGCTTACAAGTACCCGATGAAACACTCACTGTGGCAAGACCACTTTTTTGCGTATGCTTTTTATTACACTTTCATGTCTGCCCGAAATAACTTCAGAACTAAAGAAGCAAACGAACTGAAATTCTCAGAAAGTGGGGACGCAGGTGTGCGTGGTACTCACATAAGAGCGCGTGAAAGTTTTAGGGAGAAAATTTCTAACTCGAGTACCAGGAAAGCTAGAAAGCTGAAACTTTGGGGGAATGTCCCCTATCCAAGTACAACTAAAATGTTTCAAATTCAGCCCCAAACCATGCATGGTACACACGTAAGGGGGCATGGAAGTTTCTGCAGGAAAATTACTAATTCGGCAACCAGAAGAGCTGGAAGGCTAAAATTTTGTGGGGATATTCCCTGTCCAAGTGCAGTTTAAAAATTTCAAATTCAGCTTTCCAGACACAAGGGTGTCTGGAAAGCTGACGTACGGCTGTGTGAAGGTTTTGGCGCGAAAATCGTTGACTCGGTAATCAGAAAAGCTGGAAAGCTGAAATTTTCGGAGAAGATTCCCTGTTCAAGTACAGTTTAAGTATTTCAGATTCAGCTTGAGGTATGCGTGGTTCTTACGTACGGTCACTAAAAAGTCTTGCGAAAAAATTTCTTACTGAACAACTTGGTTACTTTTAAAGAACGAATGTTAGTGGAAATTGTGCATTTACTTTACAAAATTTATGGTGGTTTATGCTAGTGGCCGCAAAAGGTAGGTGTAAAGCAAAGCCATTCATGTAGTCAATGACCTGGGTACTTCAAGTCTGGTGCAAAAACGCATGATCGAACGGGCCCGCCCGGTGCATTCCAGCCTGGGTTTGAAAATGATCCAGCCGTTCAATGAGTAATTTCCCGCCAAAAATTTGAGTGCCCGTATACGAGAACCACGCACTCCTGGGGACTGAATTTGATAACTTTAAGTCGTATATGGGCTAAGAAAATCACCTTAAAATTTCAGCCTCCCAGCTTTGCTGGTTCCCAAGTTAGCCATTTTCCCGCCAAAAAATTTCGCGAGGCCGTACGTGAGGACCGCGCATGCCTGGGGGATGAATTTGATGACTTTATGTCGTACATGGGCTGGGAACATTCGCTGAAAATTTCAACTTCCCAGCTTTGCTAGTTCCCGAGTTAGCCATTTTTCCACCGAAAAATCTCAGGGGGGCGTACGCGGGAACCACGCACACCTTGGGGCTGAATTTGAAATCTTTGAGTTATATCTGGACGGGGAACATAACCTCAAAATTTCAGCTTTCTA